ATAGCCAAGGATTTATTGGCCAAGTACTGTTGGAGTTCTGGAGACATATTTTTTTTAATCTCTTAGTTAGTTTTAGAGTTGGTATAATGTTCTTTTGAAATGTATATACTTTAACCTTGCTCATTTAAATGCTGATTCTCTCCCCTGCTCTCTGGTTTCAATCTGGACATTCCATTGTGATACTAAACATCACCTGTCTCAACTTTGTGTAAACATGCCAAAATAAACAACCAGCCACAATGTTGAGCAATAGAAAGAAAGCAGGAAGAGAGGGAGGAGCCAGAGACAGGAAGGTGGGAAGAAGAGGAGGAGAGAAGGGCAGAAGAGGGCTGGGAGAACAGAGGCAGTAGCAGAGATCTGGGAATGACATGGAGAATGAACCAGACCTAAGATTCCACAAAAAGCAAGTATAATGAGTAAAATCTAAATGTTAGGAAACTATGAGGGCTTGGACGTTAAGAGGGCGTAATTATTGCCCAGCATTTTGTTCTAGGTTAACTAAATAAACCCAGTCTCTGTGTGGTGATTTGGTTACACAGCTGTTTAGGATTAACAGCAGGCTTTACCAGAAGATATATCAATAGTAAATATTAATCGTCACCTACAACAGAGTGAAAACAAGGAACAAGGCAGGAGTCACAGAGGGCCTCTGAAAGACTCTACCCAGCAGGGTTTGAAAGCAGATGCTGAGACTCCTAGCCAAACTTTGGGCAGAGTACAGGGAATCTTACAAAAGAAGGGGGAGATAGAAAGGCCTTGAGGGGACTGGAGCTCTACAAGGAGAACAACAGAACCAAAAAAATTTGGGCCCAGGGGCCTTTTCTGAGACTGATAATCCAACCAAGGACTATGCATGGAGATAACCTAGAATCCCTTCACAGATGTAGCCCATGGCAGTTCACAGTGTCCAAGAGGATACCCTAGTAAGAGGAACAGGGACTGCCTCTGACATGAACTCAGGGGCTGACTCTTTGATCACCTACCCCAGGTCACAGAGGAAGACAATGCAGCCAGTCCTGATGATACCTGATAGGGAGGGTCAGAGGGAAGGGGAGGAGGACCTCCCCTATCAGACTGGGGAAGGGGCATGGGAGAAGTAGCAGGAGGGAAGGCAGATAGGGAGGGGATGATGAAGGGGACTACAACTGGAATACAAAGTGAATAAATTGTAATACATTTTTTAAAATTAAAAATACTCAAGTGACAACACATGGTATATACTCACTTATAACTGGAGAGAAAGAGAGAGAGAGGCTGATTCTGGGTTTGGCAAGTGCTTTTAAAACCTCAAAGCCCACTCCCAGTGACATACTTCCTCAGCAATGCCACACCTTTTAATCCTTTAAATATTTACAATCCCGTTCACTCCCTGACTTTAAAAGAAAAATTAGGCCATAGGTCATCAATTCTAGGAACAATACCATAAAATCCCACCCAAGAAACAGCCTAGAGATAACAGTGAGAATGGGAAGGTATTTTATCTCAGAGTGGGATGTCTGTGCTATGCAGCCCACTGACCTTGTAAGAACATTCTTGGCACAGACAATACCTAACATTCCTGAGGTCCATAGATAGCTCCCTCAATGTTAGTTATGTTGGTCAGCCAATCACTTTGTAATAAGCTTGCCCTTGCTGAATGTCATCCAATCATGTAACTGCTAAGCTGGAAACTCCCAGTCCTTGCTCAAACCCCAGTAAAAACCCTTCCTTGCAGCTGCTCAGGGCTCTCCTCTCTGATCCCCTGCACTGGTGATGGTGAAGAGAATGAGCTTAAGCTCGAATAAAGCTCTTTGCTCTTGTATATGTGGTCCATCTCCTGGTGGTGTTTGGGGACACTAAGATCCGGCATAATACAGTCCCCACTCTTAACCATGAGCCATCTCTCCATCTCTAGACTGCAATCCTCTGTAAAATCAAAATCAAAAGGGAAATCATACACTTCCAACATACAATGGTACAGAATACACATTTCCATTCCAAAAGAGAAGGAAAGAGAGCATAGTGAGGAAATCCTGGAACAAAGCAAGACCAAAAACCAGCAGGGTAAACTCTACATTCTGCATCTTCCTGTCTGTCTTAGAGTTTCTATTGCTGTAAAGAGACACCATGATTACAACAACTCTTAAAGGAAAACATTTAACAAGGGCTGGCTTGAGGTTCAGAGGCTTAGTCCATTATCTTTGTGGTGGCATGTAGGCAGACATGGTACTGGAGAGGTAGCTGGGAGTTCTACATCTGGATCTGCAGGTAGCAGGAAGACTGTCACAGTAGATCTGGCTTGAGTATCTGAGACCTTAAACCTCACCCCCAGTGACTCACTTCTTCTAACAAGGCCACACCTCCCCATAGTGCCAGTCCCTATGAGCCTATGGGGCTATTTTCATTCAAACTACCACAATAACCGATGTCAAAGCACTCTTCAGATCTCTAGCTCCTTCCAGCTTTGTTGACTGTGGCACATTTCTCTCACCTAGACTGTTTCCACATCTGGTCTGCAACATTCCTTGCCAAGTATCCTATTTCAACAACCTGGAGTCTACATAATCCAGGCTTTGTTTTCAGAGCTTTATGGAACAGCCGCTCTGGGCCTCCATTTATTTTTGGCTTGCTGAAATTGTGTTTTGTATTGCAAAATATGATTGGGGGTAATTGACACAGTGAGAGGGGCTAAGGAGGAAGGAAAACTAATGGGGGCTTTTTGTAATGAGGGGGCTTATGTGGTGCTGATGTTAGGATTTCTTTAAATAAAATAACCACTGACGTCACTGCTCAGGCAACCAGGATTATGATTGTATAAATAAAGATGGCTCGAGCTATTCCGGACCACTTGCTGAAAGTCAATAGGTGATCATTGTCTTCACTTTACGCCAGCGCCCTTTCCCTGTCTCAGGACCTGCACCCTTGAAGCTGGAACTGGTTTCTGGCAGTTTTCATCCCTGTTTCTTTAATTTCTTTCACAAGCTTAGCTGTTTGAGGGTCTTGCCCTGAGGTCACCACTCCCTCTATTACATTTAGCATCAGGCTTTTCTTTAAACTTTTTATCTCCTTGAGTACTGACTTGGCTCCAACATGACACATCCTAATCTCCTTTTCTTCTCAAACTGTTAACTTTTGTATTTTTCTTGTCGGGCTTGCTCCTTTTCATCATAGATATGCATAAGGATGACCATTAAAAACCAAACAACACATGACCATTAAAAACCACACAACCAATACTGGGCTTCCTTAAAATCTCCTCAACCAACATTAATCCAAAATCTTCAGTTTAGCTTCAGGCAGATTTTTAGGTCAAGGGCAGAAATGAATTACATTCTTTGCCAAAATATTATAAGAATGGTTTCTAGGTCATTTATTAATATTCTTTCGCTCTGAAATTTCTTGACCTGGGCTCCTGAGAGGTCCAAAATTTGAAATTTAATTCCTAGGGGCAACATGATTGTGGTCCTGGGTACAAGTTTAGACAAAGAAACGGACAAGTTAAGACAGACCCACTTGCCCAGCCTTGAGGGCCTTGAAAGATATCATTGCTTGGCAACCAGACCAGAAGACCAGTGTCCCCCACCCAGATAGTCCTGCCTAATTAGCACATAACAGGACACTCTAGGCACTGCTCATGATAAGATATCCCCCAGATGGCCAGGGCAGACCACTGTGGCCTTGGCACCTAAAACAGACCTGTTATTTTAAAGATCAACTTCCCTAAAGACCCTCTTACCCAGTCCTGTAATGCCAAGGCTTGGATATTCCTGCTTGCATTTTTTTTCCCTTCAAAAACCTTGTTCCCCTAGACAGCCGGGCCGCATTCCTTTCTTGCTTCCACAGGAAGTTTGTGCCCTGGCTCAAGCTTGTAATGAAAAGATCCTCGTGTGTTTTGCAGTGGAGTCGATTCCTGGTGGTCTTTGGGGGTCTCACTAACTGGGCATAACACCCCCACAATTTAAATCACCCTCAGCACTGTCTTCCAGGCTCCTACGGATGGCCATTAAGTCCCATTTAAAGCATCCAATGACTTTTCAAGTCCAAAGGCCCAATGTCATCCATATTCCTCCAACAAACAGCATAATCAAGTCTGTTATAGCAATACCTTGCTCCCTGGTACCAATTTCGGTCTTGGTTACTGTTCTGTTTGCCTTATGGGTGCCATTCTTACTAAACCACCACATCAGAACTGAACTTGTCTTCGTTAGGCTCTCAATTGCTGTAAAGAGACACCATGACTGCAGCAACTCTTATGAAGGAAAACATTTAATTGCGACTAGTTTACAGGTTCAGAGGTTTATAGTCCATTATTCTCATGGTGAAAAGCATGGTAGCACATAGGCAGACATGGTGCTGGAGAAGGAGCCAAGAGTTCTAATATCTGGATTGGCATGCAGCAAGCAGAAAGAGTGACACTGGGCCTCGCTTGAGCATCTGAAACCTCAAAGCCCGTCCCCAGTGACACATTTTCTCCAACAAGGCCATACTTCCTCATAGTGACAGTCCCTATTGGCCTATGGAGGCCATTTTTATATAAAGCATCACAGAACTCAAGTCACCTTGCTTGGTCACTGGCCCTTATTTATGTTTTTAACTGAGACTGTTCTATAATTTTTTTTTTTTTGAGAACTCTTTAACGGGTTTGGAAATGGATGTTTTCTATTTATAAAACAAAACGTAAAATTGTCTTCTATGTTCTACAATAGCTTCATAAGCATTGCAGTGATTCAGTCTTTAACATTCTGATATGCTGTTCTGTGAAACCACCTGCACTCAGCGTTTTCTGTGGGGAAGGTTTTCACTATCTTAGAGAAGATGTTTGACCCTTGTATGCCATCGACCTGTCTCAGAACACCTAGGCCCCGCCCATTACTTAGAACCTCCCCCTGCCCGGCGCTGACTCCGCCCCTTTGCTCAGGCGCTCTTCCGTCCACCCAGCCAATCGTGGGAGAGATCTGTGGGGGCCGGACTTCCTCCTCAACCAATGCGCTAGCAGTTCGGGCTCCGCCCCGCCCCTCCGCCCCCAGGAGCTGGGCCGGAAGATGGCGGCGGCCGCGGAGCTGAGGCTGCTGGAGAAGTCTCTGGGACTGAGGCCGGGGAATAAGTACAGCGCCCAGGGCGAGCGGCAGGTGAGGCGCGGCGGCAGGAAAGCGGAGGGCTGGCGGGGTGGCCCGGAGCCTACGCGATCCGGCCGGGACGCGAGAGGGGACGCTACTGCCCACGTGCGTGCGGGGCGGGCCGCGTGTCTCGGTGTAGACCGTCAGGCAGATGTCATCCTCGCCCTCGGGGAGCAGAAAGCCGGTTGGTGGGCAGAGCCGTGGGTTGAGATCCCTGCGGGCGGCGGTGGGCCGGGACGGCACCCTTCATTCAGCGACCGCCCTACGAGCCGTCGCGGCCGTGGGGCGGCTGTGAGGCTGGGGACTCGCCCTCCAGGCGCCTGGCCAGCCCCGAGGCACAGTGCAGAGCGCTTCCTGGAAGCCGCCTGGCGGAGAGAACACGGAATGGGGCCCTGATCGTTCTAGGGACACACCGGCTTGGGTGTGCGGTGTGCAGAGAGTTGAGGAAGTTTCCCGGCGCGGGGCTGTGCAACGCCTCGGGAGATGGAAGGATCCCCGACGCCAGGCAGAGACTGTGCTAGAGGAGGAATGGCCGTGGGGAAACCACTTCGAATGTGCATTTGGGGGAGTGGTTCCAGATGGCTTGTTCTTGTTTGGACCCTCGTGGTTTAATTCCTCCGGTACAGGTTAAGTTTTCGTCCAAACCGTAGCGGTATTGTGAAGTTGACCTTAACTTAACGTGACGCCTGGAAAGGTTAAGCGACTTGCCTGTGATAGGCAGCAAAGGCCGGCCTTTCCCGAAGTGATGCTCAACATCCTCATCCCGTTTTCTTTTGCATCAGCCACCACATCCTTGTTTGGCTTAGGAAAACATTGCCAAGACATGCATGTTGCCTTCAAGGCTTATTTAGTGTGAAGCACAATCACCAGCCATTAAGAGCCCAACAGAACAAGCGCCAGGGGAGGAATACAGTGAGGAGTGTACAGAGGAAATGGGATTTAAGCTTCAGTGAGACAGTGTTCAAGGGATTAGACTTCAAAAGATGGGGAAACCAATGGATTATTGTGAAAGTTTGGGTTCAACAAGTTATACAAAACAAAGTAGTGCAATAGAGAGTAAATCCAAATTCAGTTTGAGACCAAAGTGTGAGTTCAGAGTCCAGTTTTAAGATCTTGCTTAATTTAAACATCATACGGTTAGCTAGGGAGGTGGAGGACAGCCAAGGCTACACAGGCAAATGCTGTGTTGAAAACCAAAAAACAAAACAAAACAAAACAAAAAAAAATTACAGTGAGTCACAGTTGAAAGTTTATGAGAATACAGAAAAAGGATAGAGATGAAATTGGGATGTTTCATTGGTTGAAAGCTAACAGCAATAACACCAGCAAAATTACCAATGATAATTACAAAAAAGTGAAAACAGTCCAAGGACCCAGCCGTAGGCAGGGGATACATTGAATTACGGTACATCATTACATGAGAAAGTCACCTAGTCATCCACTAAAAGTGGCTCACATCTGAACTTGGGAATCTGAGATAGGAAGGTCACCAAGAGTTCTAGGCTAGCCTGGGCTACAGCATGAGACCCTGCCCCATTCCGCTAAAATTTGATAACTTTGAAGACTGTGGAACCCCAAAATTGATGTGAAATTTTTTTTTCTGTCCATTAAATCTTTATTAAGAGTATATTAGGTCATATGGAGGAAAAAGAATGGCTTATTGAAGCCCTGTGAAATCTGCCATTTCAGAGTCATATATGTAAATGTGTGGGTAATGGGAATTGGATCCAGGTCCTCTGGAAGAGCAGCTAGTGCTCTTGTCCTCCAAGCCATCTCTTCAGCCCCCACATTTGGTTGTTTGGTTCCTTGATGGTTTGGGGCTTTGTTCTGTTTTCCTGGAACACAAGTCGATCCACTTGCCTCTGCCTTTGGGTGTGCTGGAATTAAAGGCATGCCTAGTCTTATTTAATACTTTCGCGGAGTGTGGTTTTCAGCTTTCCCGAGGATCTAAGGGCATCTTCTGGTCTCTAAGGCACGCATGTGGTGCACAGGCATACATGCAGGCAAAACACCCATTCACATAAAATTAAAAATTTAAGTTAAAAAAAAAAAAAAAAAAGACAGTAGTCCTCAGTCTTGTGGAATTTGTCGGCTGTAAAGGGGAAAAGAAATCTGTTTCCTTTGTCTTATGTAAGGATTCCAGAGTTGGTGGTAGGTGACCTCTGTGAGCATTCTCAGAGCATGTCTAATTGGTCCATTTACCAATTAGGGTTACATTTCCCACAGTATCAGTCCGTGTAGTTTTGAGTGACCTGAGTAAGTCTGCCTGCAGGAAGAGGTGATGAGTCTCTGACTGAAACATCTGATTGCTGGGAGAGGTCTCTCAGGCCGTTGTGGTTTTAGAGATGCTTTAAGAAGATTGCTCAAGATACAAGATTGCTAGGCCACTGCTACAGATGGTCTCCCGGAAGTCTCTCTGTAGACTCCGCTTAAGTAACAAGTAAACCTTTATGGGGCGAGGGGTGTGGCTCAGTGCAAGGCCCTCCCCAACGCCACAAAAACAATATATAAACTTATTTTACTAAACCAGTATTTAGACGTGATAATCCTGTATAAACTAATTTGGCTGCACAGGTATCATTTGGTTTGTGGTTAAGGATAATCTGTTGTTGTCTTGTTTTTTGTTTTTGAGACAGGTACTCCCTGCGTAGCCCAGGCTAGCCTGAAACTATAAATAATCCTTTACCTCCCAATTTGCTGGGATTACAGGCGTGGACCACTTGGCGTGTGGCCAAGTGTGGGGGATCTTGAAGGAAACTAATAAAGTATTGTGGTTTCTGTCTTTGGATGTTATATACTTGTGGTTCTGAATTACTTTGGTAACATTTAGCCAGCTTTTGTACTGTTAATGCCAGTCACGTCACCCAGCATACTATTACATTATAAACCCAATAGCTGCTGTTGTCCTAACTTTCATTCATATATAATTCAGTTTCATAAGAGTATTTCCACAAATTGAGGATTTTAGTGCTCACATCCAGTGTAGAGTCATGATGGTCTCTGTTTTTAATATTTTCCTGAAGCATTTCTTTTTCTTTTTAAGATTCCAGTTCTACAAACAAACAATGGTCCAAGTCTAATGGGATTGAGTACCATTGCGACCCATCTAGTCAAGCAAGCCAAGAAGGAACACTTGCTGGGGAGCACTGCAGAAGAAAAGGCAGTAGTTCAGCAGTGGCTAGAGTTCAGGGTCACTCGAGTAGACGGACACTCCAGTAAAGAAGAGACCCACACGCTGCTGAAGGTACCCTGGCTGTCTGTAGGCTGTACTGCGGGAGCCGGAGACAGGTCCTTCCCCTCAGGCTGCTCATTCCCCTTCACACTGAGTCCTAGAACTTAGAACTCCGCATACTCTGCTCCATGTACATGAGGCACCTGCATACATAGAGACCTAGGCGGTCACTGGTTACCAGCGCCTGGAGGGAAGGGAGATGAGGAGCCATTTAATGATGGCACTTTACTTTTCCAAGATGGAAAAGCTCTGGAGATTGGCTTGAAACTGAACATGCTTAATTCTGTAAGCTCAGCCTTCCAGGTTTTTGTGTTGTGTGTGTTATCTCTATTAAAGCATTTAGATAGATGTATGTGTAGCAAAGTGTTTAACATTTTATATGTATTTATAGGTATGTGTGTGTGTATAAGTATGTATGTGTGTATACTTATATGTATACACAATCCAGGAATCCACCTGTGTCTGCCTCCTCAGGGTTAGGGTTTTATGGCATATAGCACTGTGCCCAGCTTTTGTGTGGATACTGGGGATCTCACCTCAGGTCCTCATGCCTATGTGCAGGCACTTCCCTGCTGAGCCATCTCCCCAGCCAGAGTGAGCATGGTTTATACAGGGTAAGAAAACACTAACTCTGACATGGCCAGAGATGGTGCCTAGAATGATGCTTCTGTTAGCATTTTGTTTTCTTTTGCTGCTTTTAGAGGATTGGCATCTAATTGGTGATTTTTGAACGCATCTTCGTTATTGTCAATTTTTTGTTTGCTTCCAAAAGGGTCTCCTCAGTGCATCTCTCCCCCAGTCCTCCTGCCTCACCCTCCCAAGTTTGGGATCACTTATGTTTATGAAATGAAGTCTCAGTGCTTTCGTTTTGAGTAGCCTTCTATATGTTTTACGTCATATGCCACAGCAGCTGCCTGTCACTGTTCTTAAATATAAACACTTTTTCCCCTAGGATCTTAATTCCTATCTTGAAGATAAAGTCTACCTGGCAGGACATAGCATTACGCTGGCGGACATCCTACTATACTACGGGCTTCATCGCTTTATAGTGAGTATTTATGTGGAATTAGACCTTTTTTTCTGTAATACTCAGAATCACTTTTTTTTAATGTAGTGAATTTTAATCATGTCTACATTTCAACATATCAAGTTAACAAAATGAAAGTTATTTTAAAACAAGACACTGTAGGCAAAACTTGCCACACAGACTATTTGCCAAGTTGCTCTCTCTCTCTCCTACTCTTGACTGCTGTGTTTTGAGCTCTTGCTTCTGCCTTCCTCCACAGCTTTTTGCCTCCGACTCTGTCATCATCCCCTCCAGCACCCCATCTTCTGTGCACCTTCCTACCCAGGCTCTTGAGTCAGGTGTCTTGGTTGCTAATCATAACCTAATTTGATGACTAATTTGCTTAAATACTTTCCTTGTCATCAAGTGTCACCCATCCTGCTTGACTTCAGCCGCATCTTACTGCCAGCTTGAGCTTCCTTGCTATGCCGTGTACTTACCACCATGTTAAATATCTTCATTTCGTGTACAGAGAGAGCTCTGTTTTTGAAATTACCTAAGTAGAGATTGCTAGCCCTAGGCTTTGCAGAGTGGTCAGCCTCCTTCCTCCCAAGTATCTCTAGATCCCTACCCCTCTGACTTTATTGCCATAGAACCATCCTCCTTCACAGCCCCCTCCTCATTGATTGAATTCTTTCACCTTCAGCCCACCTACTTAAAAATCCTCACCCACCTCCTCTCCCATTTCTAGTCTCAGAGGGAATTTTCCCCAGCCTCTCACCTCAGCTCCCCTTCCCTGCCGGCCCTTTCTGAGGCATCTCCCAAACTCTCATTCCTTCATGTTTCTTCTCTAAGTACTTGGATAGTCTCTACATTTTCCGTCAGTAGTCCAAAATGTATTTACAGTTAGACACTCCCTGTTTTCTTCCCACTATCCTTTATTCTGTCTAAGTGTCAGCTCATTACTCCTGGCAATATTCCTGTGAGGTAGGTACCAATAACTGAGACACGGTGAGGTCAGTCAAGTATCATATAACAGTCCTGAACCTGGGCAGTTTGTTTTCAGTTCTTGCCTTCTTAGATCTTTTTCTCTGCCTTAAAGAACCTCTCAACTCCCTGCACCAGCAGCACCCTTCTTCCATTGTGGGAAAAGACCTCATAACATTTTTCTATATTCTCTGCTTCATGCACCCATTCAGGGTCTGGGGTTTCCACTTGCTGGGTCCTCTCACTCCTATCCCTTCCTTCCTCAGATCCTGGGTGAATTTTGCCTGATCATCAGTCAGTTTCAGTTTCTCTAGTCGATAAAAAGAAATAAACATAAGGCGTCTGTATGAGATGAGCTTAGTGGCCACTATGCCAGTCTTCCGTAAGATCAAGCTTTTTCTCTGTCAATAAGTGAGCAGCTCTGTAATCCCAGCAAGTACAGTTCAGCAGCCGGGGAGCACTCCTGCGCCCTTGCTGGCTTTGTCGCTGTCTCCCTGCCTAAGCTGTAACACCCCAAAGCCTGCTGGCTTCTGGGCCTTTCCTGCTCGTGTCTTTGCATTGATCTTGTCTATTGCATTCGGATCCTCGCGGCTCCTTCCTCTCAGCTTGTTCTATTTCTTCATACAGTCTTCGCTCCAGCTCTGACTTCTTGCTTAGGGCTGTCTCAGACTCCTGAAGCATACTGAAATGCTCCTTTTTGTTTCTGTTTGACCTGTGCAGGACTTCCTTCAGCTTGAGTTTATTTTGCTTGTACTGTAGTTGCTGTTTGAAAATCTCTTGTCACAAACTGCTTCAGTCATAGATGTAGACATTTATCTGTCTCGCATGATTCCTGCCATACCATATATAGTCAGACTTCCATAACACCAAATATATGTTTTGAACATTATTATATACTGTTCAAGAAATAGGATACATTTATGCACGTGTAGGTATATTTGTAAGGACAAAGGCAGGTCTCTCCTAAGTGTCGTAGTGTATAGAGAAGCCTTTAGAAACCACAGTAAGAAGTGATGCAGTTAGATTCTGCCCTCTGAAGTAGTGGATTCCACATTACCATACGAGCCAACCACGGAGCAGAAATACTGAAAAAAATGTCATCAACACTGAGCATGCACAGACCTCACGTGTCTTCGCCTCGCCACTACAGTGTAACATGTACACATTCTAGCACTTATTCTGTATTAGATAGCTCCAGCCTGCTGCAGAAACTATTGAATTGTTATATAGCTAGTCCACCACTTACACCATACCCCTCAGTTTGAATTTACTTGGTTTTATTAACAGTTACTCCCCAGGCAGGGTAAGGTGGCATACACACATAACTCCAGCATTTGGAAGGCTTGAGCCATGAGGGGTGCCACAAGTTCAAGGTTAGCCAGAACTACACAGTGAGAGACAGGACAAAGGAGGCTTTTTTTCCCCAAGTGGGAACAGTCAGTCTTCCATAACACCAAATAAATGTAACATTGTAGTGGCCTAGTTGATTAGCTTAGCACAGGTCTCCCTGTTATACACTTAGATTTACCAAGAGCCTCCTGTACGTGCCCACTAGTCTATATTTGAGAGGGCCATAAAATGAGCATAAACCTTTATTTTCAAGGAGCTACTGATCTCATGGAAGAGATAAGTTGTTTTACATAAAAGTAGCAAATTAGAGAAAACAGAACCAGGTACTGAGTATTTCTGTTCAGAATATAGTTTGGTTGTTTAAAGGGTTTTTTTGATGCAGGAAAAAAGACTCATGACAGATGTGTACAGAATATGTTTTTTCTTGACTAGCCAAAGGAACTTGTCATTGTTTTATAAAGTTCCTACATTGGGTATAAATGTTTCTAACATGTAGAATGGCCTTAGAGTTTCTCATCAAAAAGCAGCATGTTTAGCTGCAAAAGGACGCTTTTCATCCATCTGTTAGCACAGTGAAATGTTGTGGGTGAATGGCCCCTGATCTTGGAAGGAATATGGTTTATCTATGCAAAGCCAGGAAATGGTGAAGTGGGTGTCTTATTTGTTTGTCCCCTCCTGGCTCTTGGCATAGTGGCTTATCCGGGAGCAAGCTTGTGAGAGTAGCAGTTTTCAATATTCTGTGCCCATTTTGTGTTCCTGTTTTAGGTTGTGCATCTACAGTAAATGAAGCTTTTGGTTGTGTTCTTCAGTATATTTAGAGTAACGTATTTATACATGAGGAAAGTTTCATTGGAGCTGAAACATCAATCACAGCAGCCTCTTTCTATTCCATTCTAGGTTCAATATGTCTTAGTAGCTTTTTGAACTTAGAATAATGACATGGCACAACTTACCTCATTTCAAAATGAAAAAAGCCTCCAAGGTAAAGAGGATTTGCTACTACAGTAGCTAAGCATCTCCTGGTGGCAAACATTCAGTGTTTCAGCTTGGGGGACCCCCTGACCTGACCTAAGCAAGGCTGCAGCTGCAATGCAGCTGCTTTGTCCAGGTGCGAGGTGGTCACTTCCCACATTTAACCATGGCATGTGTTTTGGTGTTATTTAATATTGAAAGCTTAAACTGGGAGAAATGTGAGGCAACTGTAAGCAAGCTTGTGATTGTCTGCAGGGCTCTAGGGTCTGGCTTCCTATAGCATGACGCCATACTTAGGGAAGATTTCTCCCATGTAATTCAAAACAAAGATGATAGTAAACTGTATGGGACTTAAACCTTTTCCTCTGCTGGCTCATGCAGATCCTAGACAGGCAAGGTCACTCTACCAGAGCATCGAGCACTGTCACATTTCTGTAATGTGCACAGTCACTTGAGTATGAGTCAGGCATCTTGGAAAGCTTTTGGCTTTCAGGAGACTTAATCTGTTTCCCTCCGTTCTGAATTTTGAAATTGGGCCTATCTTAGTCTTTTTACCCATCTGTATCTACTTACATTTTCTATTCTGGAATATGTGTTTCTTGTACTTGTGACCGTGTTGTGATTAAAAATATTATGGTTATCATTTTCATTTTATTTTATTTATTTATTTTATTTTTCGAGAAAGGGTTTCTCTGAGTAGTCCTGACTATCTTGGAACTTACTTTGTAGGCCAGGCTGGCCTAGAACTCAAAGATCTACCTGCCTCTGCCTTCTAGATGCTGGAATTAAAGGCATACACACCATCACCCAACTATGGTTATTATTTTCAAAGCAACATTGAATAGAATTATTACTAAATCTCTGACTGTTTATACAAGTCAAGGTGTGTGTCCGCTCCCAGCTGAGGGGCAGGCAAGGTATTCACAGGCAGAAAACCCTTCTTAAGGAATAGGCCTCAAACTGAACCCTTGAGGTAATAGGGTTGCACCCTGGTGTTAGGTGATATGTTACTTGGCTCTGAGTGCACACAGTGTGAGAAAGGAGACTGCTGGCTATGAGTATGCGTACTGAGAAATGCTAAGTCTTCCTTGCCGCCTGCTTGTATGTATCAGCTTCTCAGGCTCTGGTTACTTTAGCAGTATATCACTGCTTACCCAAGCCCTCATTCCTTAACTTACTCTCTTATGTTGTTAAATCCTTACTCTGTAATCAGCACAGTGTATGAAACAAAGCCTTCAATGGTCGAGGAACCTTTGGGTCATCAAATCACCTCTTAGATTGTTCCTATTGGAAGCCCAGAGTTACATGTATGGTTGAGAAGTTCTGAGGTCGGGTCTGACTTAACCCTTCTTGGCATGTTATAGTGCACTTTTTCAATAGTTCCCATTACTGTGTTCCAGCACTAGTGACCGATTGCTTTCTTCAGTGATTCCCCTGAGAAATGGTCCCTTATGAGCAGATACCTTGAGATTGTTAGAATCCTTTGTGAATGCTGTGGCTGGCGTGTAAGATTGTTCTGAGCTGAAATGCATTTGTGCTGAGCCTGGAGCACCAGTGGAATATGGATTCTTTGAGAAGGAAAGGGAAAGAAATGGCTGTGAGACAGTCCTTACCATCTCGACTGTCCGGGAACAGCCTGGGGCCAGTGAAAGGGTAAAGCCAGCAGTAACACCAGGCTGCAGGGAGCGGACTTCAGTGTTTCCTACATATCTTTGTGGAAAATAAGCACATCAGAATGTTATCTGTTTGGCTTTAAGGTTCAAAGTAATCACCGAGTTCCAATATAAACAAAAATGAGTAAGTAGGAGAAAGAGCTGGCACCACCAGAGTCACTGGTATCTAGACCAGTGGAAGCAGGAAGCAGCATTTGCACTGTGTTCCTCCTCGGAAAAATAAAATAAAATATAATTACTAGGAGGAAATGTTGGAAAGCCAGTGTTATACAAATGAAATAGCCCAAGGATCACCTCAGAACCATTTTTTAAAATAGTGACTTTGGTAAAGAGAAAAATCTCTTCCTTAGTTTGTTGACAATTTTATGTGCAAAATGTTTACCAAAAATAAATAACAGAGTAATATGCTAAGGCCAGTCATTTTCTCAGACTCAGAGATTTAAATTCCAAGGCCTAACCAACAGGAAAGGCACTAAAGTGATGCTCTGACCCATTCAGGACGCCTGTGTGTTTCTAACAGGAGAGTAAGTTAGCTTACTCTCAAGTGAGAGTACAACTGAGAATACTATGCAATAGATCATCTATCCAAAATTTGTTGGGTTAAATTTGAAAATATCAGGAGATTAAGCCAGGCATGGTGGCACATGCCTTGTAATCCCAGCATTCAGGGAGGCAGAGGCCAGTCTGGTCTACACAGAAAAACCCTTTCTCAAAAAAGCAAAAACAAAATAAAGAAAGGAAAAGAAAAAAGAGACGATTAGAAGATTTAGAAGCTATTAGAATAAAAATTACTTCATCCTGAGTTTGGACTGTAGTTCTTAGAGACTCCAGCTGTGAAGTTTGTATATTGGAGAATATTTATTTTGGTTTATGTCATCAGCTATTGTTTTAAATAATAGGCCTGATAGCAACAAATAATGTTTCACAATATAAATATGAAATACACATATTTCTTTTGACCTGGTTTAAAAATCTCAGTGCACAAACTAAAGACAAAGACCTTAGTGCTTGGGAATGAATGTATTACTGTGTATTTTAGTTCATCCTGAAAAATAATGTCCCATGAAATGGCTAAGTAGAGGTTTGTTGTAATGAAATCGCCCTAAAATTCTCAGGTTACTATTTATTCTTTTGTTTTGCAGTCAGTATTGGGAGGGAACCTTAAGGCCACCTAGACAGGAGTGTGTTTTGCCCCTGAGCTGCATCCTCATCCCTATCCTAAACTTTCTTAAAACCTTGCATTTAGGGGTCTTAGTGGCATCTGTCAAGGCCCCATATTCAATCCTTAGCACCAACCAAAGAACAAAAAAAGTGCAAACGAAAACACAATTTTCTCTTGAAGTCTTTGGAGATACTTATAATATATTGGTAGAGTCAGAAAAAAAAATCCATTTACAAAGTATTTAGTGATTACAAACTAAATCCCACAAGTGAGTACTTCATTCTCTGCTGTGTAAATGTATCTCATGTTCCTTTATTTCCAACCTAAAAATCAGGAATGTGTGAAAACATGAACTCTTGTAATAAAAATTAGTCTTTACACTAAAAATGATTTCTTGCTCAGTCGTCTTGACTAATGCTTAGGGATGTGATGACTTCTTCCTTTAATGGAGACCAACAGTGATGGCGAGGTCTTTGTGATAACTAGTCACAGACCCACTCCTCTTGAAACAGGGTCAGTGCTCAGTGCGGTGTTAGGATTTGTTCCGTGTGTGCAGCTCACGTGTGACAGCAGTGAGACTGGATGATTCAAGTAAACTGAGCTGACAAAATGTCAAGCAAGAGGCAGTTTACTCTGTCATTGTTAACATTGCTTTGTGTTTTGTAAGTTACTGCACACTAGTTTGTCCTTCACTCTGCTAGGGCCTGTGACTTGGCACACCTGCACACAGCCTCAGGACATCATATGGCTAAAAGGCCTGCAGGCCTCTGATTGGGTGTAGACTGGTGGGGCCCAGGCTGTTTGTATTTTTGTTTTCTTCGTGAGATAGAGGCTCACATGTCCTTTCAGTAAATGTTGAATTAAGCAGAAGGGAAGGGGCTATCCTACCCACACCGGGGTAATGCTTCCAGTTCTTCCGTGTTGCTTCTGTTTTACTGAACAACCTAATTCCGAAATTTGTCTTAGAGAAAAATCAAACTCCACCTATAGTATTAAACTATAAGCGCTTAAAACTAACCAGGTTGCAGCTGGACAGATAGCTCAGCAGTTAAGAGTATTTCCTGTTCTTCCAAAGGTCCTGAGTTCAATTCCCAGCAACTACATGGTGGCTCACAACCACCTATAATGCTATCTGATAATAATGTCAATGTTTATATGTATGGAAAGCTTGCTATTTTCCTAGAAAGTACATCTGGTTTTGAACTGAACCTTAAAATAGTCAACAAATGTATTGCTGTCACAACTGTCTGCAGCTTTCACTTCTGTGTAAATACGTTGGCTTTGAAGACTGGGTAATTAGGTGTTTTTCAGTTTCTGTCAGTCACCTCCCAGTGTTGACAGCTCTGCTTATATACGGTGAATAGTATATGCTGTGTTTTTGATCTCTACCTAGGTTGACCTGACAGTTCAAGAAAAGGAGAAATACCTTAATGTGTCTCGCTGGTTTTGTCACATTCAGCACTACCCAGACATCAGGCAGCATCTGTCTACTGTTGTCTTCATCAAGAACAGACTGTATGCTAACTCCCGCTAGAAGCCCCTGCTGTGCAGCAGCCAGATTAGAAGTGTGATAGAAAGCATATTTTGGACCATGGTACTAATGTGAATTAATATGACGTCATTGTTTCTTTGCTAATGTTGGTGGAATTTTTAAAGTGTAAGCCCGAGTCTGAGTGTTTCATTTGTCCCTCGGTTGAAGCTTTGCAATTTTTTAATGTAAAAATTCAACTGTTAGCCCAAAAAATCACAGTCAGATTACAAATTATCTCGGTTTTTTAGGTGAAATTGACTTTAATAAAAGTTGCAAATCAGTGGCTCAATCTTTTAAAAAGTCACTCTGTCAGTGGTTCCCATCTGTCTATTTACCTCTTTCATGTTTTTAAGATTCATTTTCCTCTTAGATATTTATAGTAGTTTGTTAAAACATGGTAAATTATGCTGAGGATTCAGAAAGGGAAGATGGATATATTTGTTCTCAAAATATTTATGTGCGCTAGTAAATGTGGTTTTAAAAATCAACTTTTGTTTGTCTGTTTCTTTCCTGTAGGCACTGTTTACTGAGGTGAAGCTAACTGCTGGAGGGAATTAAATGCATTCCTCTAAAGCTAAAGACTTTCTCTTGTTAGGCATATTGAAAGATGGAGTGACTAAACTGGACTTCGCCATCTCATTGTTTCAGCGAGAGCCCGCAAGCCCTCAGTCTGCATCACAGCACTGAGCATAGCAGAGACGCTGTTAGCCAGGGCTCCGTTCATGCTGTAGCTCTCACTGGTATAATAGGTCATTGACAGTTAAAGAGCTTGTCTTTCCAATTAAGAGAAGTGGAGCCAGGCATAGCATGGCCTTTCATGTTTGTGTGGCTAAGTGAGAAAGAGCCACAGACCTAAGGCCAGCCTAGACTGTACAGGGAGACTAAAACATTGAAGAGCTGGAGTGTAAATCAATAATGGAGTACATGCCCAGCATGCACAAGGTCCTGTGTTCGGTCCCCATTGCCAGGAGAGACAGAAGGGAGAGAATTTTAGGTGGTATGATTCAAAGTTCCAGGGAAAGAGCTAAAAATTTGTGAATATTGAGCGCTCTGAGTCCTGTTTTTATCATTAAGCATATGATTTTAAGCAAAGCAAAATCCCCACTTTGTTTTTGGTCTTTCAAGACAGGGTTTCCCTGTATAACAGCCCAGGCCGTCCTGAACTCACTTTGTAAACCAGGCCGACCCCACACTCAGAGATCTGCCTGCCTCTGTCTCCTGAGTGCTGAGATTACAGGTGTGTGTCACCACCTCCCACCAAAAGCCCCACTTCTAAACATTACTACAATAGAAACCAAGTTTTCAGCCCTTGCACTTTGGGAGACACCTTGGTTCCAAAGTGTAAGTGTTCGGTAAAATAAATGTATTTAAAATTTTAAAGACCAAATGAAATGGGTACACACCCATTATATAGCTCAGTAAAGTAGCTTAATAAATGAGAATTGGACAGACTGCTCTCAGCCTCTGTCAGTGATGTGACGCTGGCTAAGTCAATGCATCTGGTGAAATCCGTCTCTTGAAGCAGAGGTAAAGAGCACTAATCTTGCCTCACTACCAATGATAATCATAAAAACTACAGCCAGCCTCTTCCCACCCACCATACCTAAGATGCCAGGCTACTCAGTGTGTGAATCCATCTGAGAGAAGACAAAAAGCAGCAGCACATCATATAAATGTGGGGGGGGAAAACATTCACACAGTGAATGGCATTACAGTCGGTCCTTGCTTCCTTCAAGATGCTGAGCGAGAGACCATACTATTGTCTATAACTTGCTTCTGCCGTGTCTGTGAGATGCACCCAAAATGTGGCCACTCAAATGTATGCTGTTCCTTTTCGAAAAGTAAATGCCTCCTTCCCACCATTTCTCTCTATAATGCCCCAAAACCTGCTTGACTGACCATTCAGTGATTGCCCCAAGTGTGTGTTCAGCTCTTGCCATTGATAGGCTTCAAGACTTGGGCATACCATACAATACATTCTTGCCCTCAGAGAATCTACAGCCTGTCTTACCTGTGAACAGGCCCTGAGGCAGGGCACACAAAGCATTCTTTTTGGGGGCTGCCTGACCCCACCATTCTCTGGAAATAAAATACTAAGTATTGACTGTTACTGTCTACTGTGTTCTGGGCCCCGTCCTGGGAACTTCATGTTAACTCATGCTAGCTTCCAAAGCAAGGAGGGCAGACTCTGTCATAAACAACACCTCAGACCATAATGGAATAAATGAGGACTGTATGACCTTTCCAGGTTGGTGACAGCCTATCCACCGTATTGTTCACAGATGCTCCTGTCCTGATGAGTCTCTATTCCACGTTCTCTATTCCTGTCTCTATTCCACGTTCAGTCTTCTGAATCAGATCAAGAACTGCATTGTTCTTCTGTCAGGAGTCCCTGATTTATCCGTTCATTAGACTAAATACTAGTTTAAAAGAAGGAAGCAATACCAAAAAAGACCATTTGTTCATAGACACAGTTACGTGAAATTCATTTATTATGAGCTGACTTCCCTGCTAAATACCTCATCCAGTTAATGGATTTCAGTAAGGGTTTGACATGCAATGTCCCCTACCATCTATCTGCAGGCAGATAATGGGAATGAAGCACAGCTCATAACTGAAGCTACAGATATTACCAAATTCATATATATACTATATATTCCTATATATTCATGTGTTTGGTGAAAATTATAAATTAGATAAGGTAAAAGACAAATGATTGAACAATTACAATAATACATTTCTGCCATAAATTAATCTGGCAACCAGGATGACTGAGTGACTAATGGGTGGGTAGAGTATACAGTGTGGATACACTGGACGAAGGTAATTGGGTTTAGGGCAGAATTTCATCCCGGTGCTCTGAACTAGTCACAATGTAACGTGATAGTTTTGGACTACACTTGGTAGTTGGCAACTGAAACCAGAGAAGGTAAAATCGTTCATAAAGTAGGACTGCTTTATATGGAATTTTCATTTGTTTACTGTCTGTTTTCACCTCTTTATACCTGTAGTTAGAGTCAGAAACAAGCACCAAACAGCGTCGAAGGCAAGGTAACAGCAGAATGAATGGAAAGGATCACCCACTGCCAGCACAGCATGCTCATTGCCCCTTAAAAGTAAATTTATGAGATCCTTGCTTAAAGTCTATCTACAATAGCTTCAAGATAGAATTATAAAAATTTAAACAGATCTACAATTAGGAAAGTACAGAACTGCTCTGTAATCAGCTACACACATCACTCCAAAAGATAACGTGCAAAACTGAATCACTGAACTGTAGCCTATTCAGTTATATTTTTTCCTTAACATTTGACTTCAAAAAAAAAAGACAAATGTTACATGAACTTTAGTATTAATCTAGCTTTGGTGAAGATGTGAGTGAATGGATTAAAGCATTTACCTCCCCCCCGAAAGCAGCGTTTCTTCTTTCTTTCCATAATTAGATAATCTGCTACTACCCATTACCAGGGCACTAAATTCCAAATTCTCTATACACCTGAACAGACTGCAACATATCTGGCCATCTTAATTTTTGTCTTGATTTATGGAAGCTGAATTACATTCCTAACCCTTCCTGGAGCTCTGGGTGGATTTTATTGCGAAAGCAATGGGGAGAAAAGTTATTGTCATATATCTCTTGCTGGGCAGAGTCTTAGAGACACGGGGGCCCCCACATCCCCCTGTACCGTGTCTTGGGTGGATTGATAACACCATAATGCCCAGCTCTAGGGTTACACACAGCGTTTCGCAGATGAGATGGAGAATGTGTTCCTTGCAGTAACGATTACTTGCTGTGGAGCCCAGATTCCTGCAGGCTCTATTCCCAATGCCGCTGGTGAATAAAACTAATTCCTACCATTCCATAATTTAGCAAAGCTCATCTTTCACTGAGGAGAGGGAGGCCAAAAGAAGGCCGATGGGAAGTCAGGAGAATCTATGGGGTTGGCCGTTTTTTGCTGTCATGTCTCAAGGGGCTCTACTTCTGTGACTGTACTTCCTTTAGGAACATTTTTATTTTTAAGGTGTTTGTTCCCTTGTGAGGGATAGAAGCCCTAAACCTTTTCCAGCTCAATGAGTTCATTTGATAGCTCCTTCGTGCTGTCGCTTCCACTTCCACAAGGCCAGGTCCCTAGGGCTTGCCGGTTATATTATGGATCGTGCAGATTTGGCCTGCCGTTCCTGCTGAGTGTCATCTGTCCTTGCAGTCTCGCCATGGATAAAATTTATTCTCCCTCACATCATCTGCTTGAGAAATCTGTGCCTGGCAGGCCTGTCTGTCCACATTAAGTTTGAGCTACAGTAGCCATACAACTAATTTGACAAGGCATAGCTTTAAATAATAAGGCCCCAGGCTTGCTTTGACCAAGATGAGAAACTTCCAGCCCCCAGATTACGAATTCCAAAGCTCGTTTGGTGCAGTCTCTGAACTGCGCTGTTCCTGTGGTGTAAGTTATCTGTATGGCCCCATTTCTCCTGCCCTGCTATAGCACCTACAGGCCACGTCTTAAAGATCCTTAGAGGCTTTTAGTTTGCAGACTGGCCTCTCCAGTTGCTGTTTTCTGCATTTGAGCCCCATCTGCTGGATTAAACAAATCACTATAACAGTGTCCCTTATCCACAGAAGACGTGCTCTGAGACGTCTAGTGGATGCCTGGAGCTTCAGGTACTGCATATGTAGCTTTCCATCACACACGACAAAAGCGCAGGATCATTAGCTCAGAAGATAGACTGACGGTGCTTCACAGCTTTGGGAATTCTGGTCCACAGTCGCTTGGGCCCTTTGCTCCCTTTGCTTTAGCACCTGGGGTGAGGCAACATAGCAAGGCTGAGAGCATGTGAGTCAAGCTGCTCTCCTCATAGCCAGAGGGTGGGGTGGGGAAGACTCAGGAGGGGAAAAAAGGGAAAGTAAGTCCCAAAATTTACTTCAAGCACATACCACCAATGACTTGATGACCCTCCCTAAGGCCCCATCTTCTAGAGGCTCCACCACCTCACAGTAGCACTGAGCTGAAGTCTGGAGTCCTTATTGAGGCATTTGAGGGACATTCCAAAACCTGAACTATAGCAGTACGGTGGGGCTGGGGTACTGTGGAAACAGGGGGACCCCGCCCAGAGCAGGAGTGGGTCAAGTTGAGTCCTACCCTGGAAATGTCTGGAGAGCAGAGGGAGTGAGGACTGCTCCCTCCCCTACCCTGGGCCTTCATGCCCCAGTGCATGTAGTCTTGTGCCCTCCCACCTTTGCCAGCAGAGGAGGTCACATAGTCACAGCCAGGTTAAACGTCCCCTCTCCTTGTAAGGTCGTGTCCAGCAAGCTCCTGGAACCCCTCTGTTGTCAAAGTATTCCCAGCACCTTAGCCATGCCAATGATGTGTATTCACCCCAAAAGACTCTACCCACTCCCTAGAGGTTTAAATACCCTTGGTTCGCCCCAATTAAAGGAGCGGGTGAAGCTCAGCTCCAAGCCCGAATGGCACACAGTACCATGCGGACCAGGGATTTTTCTTTAATACATGTACATCCTTTATTAAAGTCCAAATTAAAAATTAGACATTATTAGTTGTTTTTCTTTTGCTTATAATAAAAAAAGTTATCATGACCAAGACTTTATTTTATAAGCTTATGGTTTCAGGGGAAAAGAGTCTTCCTGGTGGGAAAGGCATGGCATGAACACAGGAACAGGAAGCTGGCTCGTCACTTTATATCTGCATTCAGGAAGCAGAAAGTAGGAAGTGGAGTGAGGCTGTAAACACCACACACACACACACACACACACACACACACACACACACACACCGCCCAAATCAGTGAGATACCTCGTTAACATCCCATAACTTTCCCAAATGTCATTCCCAACTGGGGACAAAGTATTCAAATACCTGAGCTCATGGGGGCATTCAAATCCTCACAGGCAATGGTAAGAAATTAATCCTAACTAGAAATGCAAACATCGTACTTAATTTAAAGCATGAGTTATTTGTCCGTGGGGCCTCCAATTTTATATTCTCAACCTCGGGCTGACTTCAGGGGACTGAAACGGTGGAGCAGCCACAGAAAACGAAAACACTCATCAACCCCCGTGACCAGGGAACGAGGAACAGCCTTGGCCCTCCACGGTGGCTCTCTGAGTCTGGCTCAGAAACCACCTGCAGCTTCTTCGAACGGTGTCCCAGGTTTTCAATCGACAGGATCTAGAGGAGTAGGGCCTGGGAACGTGTCCATCATGGTCACGCTGGCGTGATAACTGTCCCGTGTCCTGGATACACTAGTCCAGGCCAGAGGATCGCCAGACTTGGAGGTAGGCCGCCCAGAACTCAAGCCTTCCTCTCCGTGTGGCTGGGCCAGGTTTTACATTTTCCAGCGTGACCGAGGTGACTTCTTGGATGACTTCGCAGCTGTGTTCGCTCGTGGGAGCTTCCGCTGGGTCACCAGAGGCTTCTCTCGGGGGAACCGCTGGGACCCAGGACAGACAGGGTTCAGCATGAGATCTCTGGGATTGCTGCCGCCAAGAACCCTGGTGACCCTCGTTCGCAGCACGCCGCTTCGCACCACGCTGGCCTTCACACTGAGCATGCCATATGTGCTTCCTAAACTTCAGGATAAGTTAATACATACAAATTTATAGGCTCTAAACCCCGAGACCGAAGATCCTCCCATCTCTTCCCTTGCGTGAGTGTACAAGCACAGAGGAATATAGCTAAATAAAAAGTAATTTTGACATTTTCAAAAGTATTACTAGAAAGCACACCGCTGATCCAGAGACAAGAAAGACAATAAAGTCCCTTCAGAGGAGTGATAAGGGTCCTCCGCTGTGGTTTTTATGTGACACGTGTCCCCCACACTCCTGTATTGGACACTTGGTCCTCGGTTGGTGATGTTCTTTTGGGAACTTTAGCCAGGGGGGAATCTGGCTGAGGGAAGCTGGTCACAGAGGTTCACTTTTGAAGAAAGAGTGTATGTGGCCTCGCTCCCTTCGCGGCTTGCTGACTCTACTCTCTGCTGTGATGTGATCTGCCCGCCTGCGTCCTCAGACTAAACGTTTCTGCAAAGCGGAAAGCGCAGACGCATATGGAGAGCAGGTCAATTCTACGGCATAATAAAGTCTGACCTGACGCTCACAGGTCAGGCTCGGGTGAGACTCGACGGTCAGCATTGCAGGAAAGCAGTCTGTTCTTCTTGTCTCCGCTGGTAGACTGAGTGGTCCATGAGGGAAGAAAGAGGTGGGATCTGCCTTGGCCACCACTCTATTTCAGCTCTTATTGTACTGCATGGAGGACACAGCGGGTGTTCAATACATATTTATTGGGTGTTTACCTCAATTCATGGCACGTATCAAGTGCTGTGTGAACATTTGTTCAGTGGTGATGCAGTTCAGACACTGGCTATCCAGACTTAGCACACACTTCAGAAGTGGAAAGCATAGCCCTCCACAAATTCCTCATATGTTAGATCGGAGCCACAAGCTCCAGGGTTCCTAAGCCACCCATGGATTTGCTAATTTTCTAAAATAACTCTGTATCTCAGGAACATGCTACATTTACGCTGAGTTTTATTACAAAATTGCACTGGATTAGCAGCCGAAGGAAGAGGCCCATGAGGAAGTTTGGAAGACTCCCAAAATTGTAACTCAGGCATCCTCAGCAAAGCATCTTCCTCCTGGCACATGGACATATGATTGCCAGACAGGAAGTCCACCTGAGCTCCAGTTCCCAGGGATTTTACTGGGGTGTCTTTGCAAAGGCACAGGTGATCAAATAATTGGCCATGTAGTTAAGCTTACTTCCCTTCTTCAGGAGTGGAGCAGCACATGAGGGTCAAAGCCCCAGCCTTCTAACCCTGGGGCCAATCCTTTCAGTTGACCTATAAACCCACCTTCAGTCTCCTTGCTAGCATTCAGATCGGTCCTGAGGTCTGTGAATAACAAAGACACTCCCATCACCTGGAAAGTTTAGAGATTTATGGGATTAGCTTCCAGAAAAGAAAGAGAAACACCAGGCAATTTTTTTTTTAATTAAAATTTATGTCTATGGGCACTTGCCTGCATGGAGTTTCTATGTACTGCATTCAGGCTTGGTGCCCAAGGAAGGTAGAAGAGGGAGGGAGTCAGATCCCTTGGGACAGCTGTGAGCCACCATATAGGTGCTGGGGATTGAAACCAGATCCTCCAGAGAAGTAGTTAGTGCTCTTAACTCCTGAGACATCTCTCCAGACCCCTAGCCAGATTCTTTACCATTCAACTTAGTTGGTGGATTGAAGAGGCAGAGGGAATAAAGAGAGGGAAGGCTAACAAGAAATGTGGGGAAATGGCAGAGCAGGAAGGCCTCCCTGCCCCTGGCTTTACTATATTGAAATCTAGTCAGACCACCACTTAGACCTAGGCTCTTCTGTTGACTACTTAAGAATGTCATCCTCTCTCTCTCGCTCTCTCCTTCTCTCCCTTCCTCTTTCTCAGTTGCACACACACACTCCACATACACATTGTTTAAAATAACAGATTCCCCCCTCCTCAACTGATCTGGCAGTTTCTGACACTGCACACAGATTATGTGACTACATTTGGCTGGCTGGCTGGAAAGGTCTCTCTCACACCCCTGGGGCGGGAGTGGGGACTGTTGGACTGCCTCAGTTTTCACCCTTGCAGCCTCTCTCTACATGTGTCTAAATTAACAGGCTTCTACACACAATGGCCGCTCTCCAGCAGGACAGCCTGAGTATCTTGGCAAGAAAATGAAAGCAGAATGCTGGTGGATCCCCTGGGGGTACATTTATGAGTACAGTGTGTTCTGCTGGTCGAAGCAAGCCACAGGGCCAGCTCAAATTCAAGGTGAACGAAAACAAATCCACCTCCTGACGGGGGGTGCTAATAAACCTCATGGGTGAGAATAGGACCACTACCAAAAACTCTGAGACAAATTTGAAGCTAGCTTTATTAAATAAAAGCCAGGACGATTGACCCTGGTCAGGTCCATACCAATGATTCCCAAGGAATGGCAGCGAATTAAATTAATCAAAGGCTTATAAAGGCAGAATCCACAAGGCTGTGTACTTTGCACTTTCATCAAATCAGGGATAAACATATTTACTGATGGACTTCCTGCCTATGTACCTCCCATGTATGTGTGCTCAAGCATGTCCTGTGGAGTTTGGGCAAGTAAGCTTGTTTGAATAACAGCTCCCAGGATTCCAAGAAGTTATCTGTCCCTGGGCAAGTGAGGCTTATAGGTTAAAGGCCTTTTTTGTTTTACAGATCTCTTGAGTACAGTAATTTAAACTTAAAACACAACTTTAGCCCTCACAATACATCATGTGGCATGTTTCTACAGAGAAGGCAGGAAGTGCTGGGGCTGATCTGACCTTTGGTCTCATCTAGACATAGGGATTTTCATAACTTAGCCTTCATTATATTCTGCATCCACAGATTTACTCACACAGAGAAAGTAATTCTTTTTGGAGGCGCGGGGGGGGGGGAGTTCCAGACAGGGTTTCTCTGTGTGTAGCCCTGGCTGTCCTGGAATCACCCTGAGAACCAGGCTGCCCTCCATTTCACAGAGATCCATCTGCCTCTGCCTCCTGAGTACTGGGATTAAAGGCATGCCCCTAGACAGTGCCCCCACCTCACCCCACCGCCCACCCCCGTTGCCACTGACACCGCCACCACCACCAGATGAGAAAGTATTTTTTAAAAGTCACGTTGTTGTTGCCATGTATCATATAATTAAGCCTATAATGACTGCAATCTGTACTGAGTATTATCCTTGTTATTCCAGAAATAATAGAGTATTGATGAGAACAGGAGATAGCAAGTGGTGAACAGGGCAGGGATTCCAAAGCAGTGCTTCTAAAAATGTCCCTGCTGGAGGGCAAGAATGTAGGAAGGGAACTCTGGTTCCTGGTTCTTTGCTGTCTCTGCCCCTTTCCTGGAAGCTGTGAGGACTCAAACAGAGACACCAGAGCATCTCAGTTGGGCCAGCTGGACTGACCAACCCAAGCTCATCCCATGTTTCATCTCCATTTCTACTATATAATGCTTTCAAAAAAAAAACCCAAACTGACAGCTCAGTGTTACCCAAATTTTTCGGGACCCTCCTTATACAGGAGCTATGAACTCTTCCTCTCTCCTCCCTCCTCCCTGGCCCTCTCCAACTTTCCTTCTCCATCTCCTTCCTCTTTTCTTCCCCCTTGTCTCTCCTCTGAACCTATAATAAAAATTATCTCTGAAAATCACTTTCTGTGGTCCGTGAATTTCATTCTTTGAATTTGAGGGGAAAGAACCTTGAGGTGACTGACTCAGTGGAAGTTTTCTGTTACCATGAGCATCTCATGAGTTAAAAGTTCACCCAAAAACCAAGGGAGTTTGCTGTTCTCAAAAGCACTCCAAAACTTTCCTATATCAGTGTAACAGGTTGCATTGTATAAGGTATAATAAGCAATCTGCAGGTGATGTAAATACTACAAGAAGATATGTGCTAGTTCTGTACAAATACATCATTTCTTTCAAGATACTGGAATATCACCCCTCTTGGTTTTCCATGGGGATTCTGTAACTGGGATTCTAATCCTTGATTAGATTAATGACAGGCTTAGGAAATCTAAGGGATGCCATGGAGTTTTATATATTTCAACATGTTAGAAGACAGTCTAGTGGTGGTGATGCAGAAAGGTTAAGTGGGGGAGGAGGGCTGGAGAGGTGGCTCAGAGGATAAGAGTACTGTCTGTTGCTCCAGCAGTCCAGAGTTCAATTCCCAGAAACCACATGGTGGCTCCTAACCATTTATAATGAGATCTGGTGCCCTCTCAGTGTGCAAGCATAGATGTAGCCAGAACACTGTATATACATAGTAAATACATAATTTTTTTTAAAAAAGAAAGGTCAAGTAGAAGAATTGAAGTAGAATATACAACGTCCTAAAAGCAGACCAGGAGTGATGGTACACACTGCAATCCCAGTACTTGGCAGACAGGGATGGTAGAATCAGGAATTCAAGGACACCGTTAAATACCCAGCAAGTCCATGTCCAATCTGAGCCACATGAGACTCTAAGAGGTTTTTGTCATAAGATATTTTTGAGGTTTACTTATTACGTGCCAGGCATTATAGAGATTGCTTTGTATTATTTTTATTGTTGGTTGTTTGCTTGCTTACTTTTGAGACAGGGTCTCATGAGCTGGAATTCTTTTTCCATGTGTTGAGATTGGGGGCATGAACATTACATAATTTATCAGATGTCAGGAATTAGGTGCATGGTAACTGGGTGCTTGTCTCTTCTTTTTCCATCAATTCAAGCAGTCAATTCTTTTCATAGTTATACAGATTTTTTAGTCCATATAACAAATGGCTAAAATTATGTAAACAGGAAAACAACAGCAGACTGGTTTTTTCTTCTTCTTCGCATGATCACAATTGAACCTCATGAAAATAAAGCACGGAGGCAAAGGGCTGTAATTCCAGGTAACAGGAGACTGAGGCAGGAGGATCCTCAGTTCAGACTGGCCCAGAATGCAGGGTGAATCTAATTTAGAGAGACCATCCCCCAAAACAAAACAAAACCCCAAACCAAACCAAACCATAACAAAGAGTTACTTAACCTCTAACCATGGTCCTTCATATCTGTCTATTCAGGTTGCTATGACGACCCAATGTGTCAATTCATGTTAAAATGCTTTATAAAGTAGCGGTGGCCACTACAATGTAGAAAATACATATATACTACTACTAATGTTATTTTTCTGCACTCCGCTCCCTGCCCCAACCACAGTGAATTAGTTATTTCCTGCAGGCGTAGGAAGGAATAACAGAAAAAGCTGCAATTTTCAGCTACCTTCCCTACTCAGACCATCTGCCCTAATCCAACATGGCGGCATCGGCTACGCTCCGAGCGCCTTCCGGGCACCCAACGTCTCCGACGCCTTGTGATGACGCAACACGCCGCGCGGTCCGGGTTTGCGCCTGCGCCGCGGAGGCCGCGGGTGGGCGGAGCTGGTCGGGATGAGTGGCGGAAGGACGGAGAACCCTGTAGCGTGCGAGGCCGCTCAGGGCGGCCGCAGCAAGAAGCGGGACTCGCTGGGCACCGCGGGTGCGACGCACCTCATTATCAAGGGTACGGAGTGAAGGGCGTGGTCCTCCGTGCGAGGTGGGGGAGCGTGCTGGGCCCGCCCCACCCGGTGCTCCCCGGCTTCCCCGCCGCCTGGCCTGTCTCTCTCCGCCCCAAACCGAGGTCCCAGCCCGCAGGACCCACTTAAATGCAGTGGGCGAAGGGCGCCCACGCTGTCGCCTATAAGGTGACTTCGGTCCTTCATCTTCTCTCTCTCTCTCTGTCCCCTCTGCGCCTGGGTCATGCCAGGAAGAAAGGACGACACTTGGGAAAACGTCCTGAAACACTTCGCCCAGCACCGATCTGACCTGTCTCCTCCGAGCCTTAGAAGGCTGCGGTCTGAATTGTTGCCGTAACTCAACGAGGTTTAATTGCTGAACCTCAGAAGTCCCTGTTTTCCCGCGGAGAAGCCTCCAATGCATTCGCCACTGCTAACCCCGCCCACCCCACCAACTTTGAGCTGTAGCCCTGCGCTGCCTCGGGAATAGGTGCGGTTCCCATTTCAGTCCGACCCGATCTGTGGGCAGCCCCCGCTGAGCTGGCTGTAACTGTTTAAACTGTTTCATGCTGTCTCTTAAAGTTTAATTTTGGGTCAGGTAGTATTGCGTGTGTTTTAAGACTAAGTTAGAAGTATTTCTGTTCGCAGGCGTAGAGAAGAATTTAGTTGTTTTGTGACTGTTGTTGGGGTACCACAATTGTTTTTCATCCGCAGATTTTTTTCATCATACAAAACTTTGTGCGTTTTAACTATAATCCCTATACCGCCTCTCGGACTAAAACGGATCTGTCTGTGAATTTAACTGCTCCATTGCCCCTGTGGACTTGGGCAGCTCCATCTTTTGCTATTGGAAATAATGCTGCTGCAAACACGAATGTACAAACATCTTTGAAAGGCTCTGTGCTGTGTTCAGTTCTTGGGGGATATATCTCCAGAAGTGGATCCCTGGGCCATATGAAGAGTCTTCAGACTTTTTGAGGAATTGACGGGCTCTGTGTTTGCTACACCATTTCCTTTCCCCCACCCCCACTTTGATACCGGTCACTCTAATGGGTATGAGATAATGTCCCCTGTTTTGATTTGCATTTCCTACAATATTTGGTTTTCTTATGTACTTGTTGACTACCCGTTTTTAGAAAAAATGTCCATTTTAAGTCCTTTGCTCATTTTAGTTGATTCTGTTACTTAGTTATAATTGTGATATATTCTTGGAAGTCGGCTATGCATGCTGTTCTGTCTGTATCCATAGTCCCTGTGAGCAAAAGTTTGCAGAGATTTTCTCCCACTCGCCTGGTTGCCTTTCCTTGTGTTGATTGTGTTTTTTGCAGCAAAAGTTTTAAATTTTGAACTAGTGCTGTTTTGTTGTTACCTTTTCCCCAAGGCCTCCCACATGCTAGACAAGCACCATACCACCAGAGGCTTCATCACCAAACCCTTTTTTCTGTATCACTTATTTTGAGACTGGTTCTCGCTTTCACACTCAGGACCCAAATACACAGTCCTCCCTTTATTGGGTACTGAGAGAGCTGCAGCACTGTTTCTTTTCATCTCGTAGCCTCAAGGATCTTCCATCATCAAAGCACTTCTTTGTGTCTTTGTGAGAAGGTATTTGTCTAACTTTCACATTAGGTTATAAACATGTAGAGATCTGAAGATTATATGTATCAGTAACATTTTTTTTGTATACCAAACAGTAAACTAACCTGGCTAGAGTTGGATTTCTATAGAAATCTGTATTTTACATGTATATGGTTAAACTAGAATTTATATTTAATATTTGGACTCTTAAACACTCCAAAATATTACAATGGACTTGTTTGTTTTACTATCACTAGGTAATGTTTTAATTTCTGTGTTAATGTGTAGTTCATGGTGTGGCCCCCCTCATGATTTCCCACAGTTGAGGTTTTAGAAGTGACTGATAATCTACTTCTGTGTAGAACTGAATTATCTGCAGTTTTAAGTGGGCCCGTGCTGTATCATCAGGCTGCAGAAGCAGATGTCTGCACACCAGCGAGCCTTAACTGCTCAGTCGGGTGGAAAGAGACGGTCGCACATGTGTGCTGTGTAAATATCGTGAGCAGCTCGCTCTAGGAGAGACTCACCGGGGAAGGAGTGACTTGGGGACTTTGTTGTGCACGATATTACCAAAGTGGATGTCCCTGATGCTTCAAGAACACAGCATGTGGGTGTTCTGAAACCTAGCAGGAAGCTAGTGAGAATCAAGGACAGTGTCAGGGAAGAACGAGGGCTCAGAAATTGTAGAGGAAGATGGGCATGAGGGGAAGTGAATAGTTGGATTGTAGGGTTTCATGTCATGGCAACTGGGAGCTGCATCAGGATGCCTGAGGTAGCATGATGTTTTTAAAAAATAAGCTGCAGCTGCTTTGGAATAGAGAACCTTAGATGGACTTTTTTGGAGCCAAACTGTATGTATCCTGTTGTCCATTATGCTTCAAAGACTCTTGTGTTCTCAGGCTGCAAATAGATACTCTCTCTTGCGACTAGATTCTCTGCACAAAGTCCATGAAATCCTGCATACTCTTGGTCTCACCCAGGCATCCATAACTCTTCATACACTAGAGCTCCAAGATCTGAATAAAGAACTCTGCATACTCTGTTGTATACCATGTGTCTCAATAGAACATTCTTCATTAAACTCCAGATACCTTCTTACAGAAGTGATGTGGATAATAACCTACTGAGAGATTTAACCAGAAATTGCCCTTCTGCTTATATTGTTCTTTTAGCATATTCACAAGATATATCCTAATAAAACTTATAAAAACAGAATTGGAATCTGATATATATATATATATATATATATATATAAACAATTACCAGCACATGAATATAGGATATACATAATTTAATTTGGGCATTTAATTTCTCTAGCTATTTTGGGGTTTATATCTTAAACTAGTTATTGCTAAGAAGAATGATAGACCCACTTACCCAAATGGCTAAAATTCAGAATTCTTTCATAGCTATTGATTTTTAAGATCTAGCATAAAGTAATGATGCTTAAAAGCAACATTCGCCGCCCACCCTCACTGATAAATCACAGGTCCGCTGGAGCAACTGAGAATATAGCTCCGTGGTAGAGCACTGGCTTAGAATGTGCAAGGCCCCAAGTTCAAGCTCCAGTAGAAAAAGCTCCACCATGTACCGTGCTCCACTTAGCTTTCATCACCCTCTTCTCTCTGATGTCACCCTCCATCCTGAATTTGGTGTGTTCTAGAGAAAATCTCATTTTACATATCTTTAAAGTTTATGTAAACAGGTTTATTCCTTCTGAAGCTTGCTTTTATTCAACGTTCTATTTGTGAGATTTATCCCTGTTACTAGGTGTCAGTCTGGTCTGTACATTTTTACTCCCTGTTCATAATACCCCATCGTGTGATGGTTTAGAGAATTTCCCTTTTAATTGTTCTTCTGGTAGTACATATATACCAAGCAAACATCTATACATTCATGTTCATTTGTATAAGATTTTTTTTTTTTCTAGGATATATATCTCATCATGGAATTGCTAAGGATATGTATCTTCAGTTCTGTTAGGTATCATTAGGTGGCTCTCAGAAGACATTCTATCAATTAAAACACACTGAAGGTGGGGGTGGGGCTCCCTCCTAATCCATGCTCTGGACTGGATTTTAACCTATCTTCACCTGTTCATAGAGAAGGGGAAGAGTAAAACAGGCAAGAGATTGGACCAGTGAATGTGAGTAATCCTCGATTCTACTTTATCTTTCTAGATCTTGGAGAAATTCATTCAAGGCTTCTGGATCACAGACCAGTAACCCAAGGTGAAATTCGTTACTTTGTAAAAGAATTTGAAGTAAGTATCTAAAACTTGTTTTGTTAAAAGCATTGCCCTAATTGTAAATGACTTGCTATACAGAAGGGTAATTCCTGAGGTTTAAAACCTGACTTTATTTTATGACTTCTTAGAATATATGTAGTTAAAAAGTATGAAAAGATAGAAGTACGTGCTAACTGCAAGAGCAGACAACAGGAGATTACAGGCCACATTCTGGTACTACCCTAGACTATTTAGAGTTTGTCAATTGCAAACATTTTCCCCCTATAAAATTGGATAGAGTGGAAAAAACAAAAGAACTTTTAACCCTAACCCTAACCCTAACCTTTAGAACTGTTAGCAGTTTTCAGCATCTTTGGTTTATGTTTAGAATAGTATAGGACACAGAAAACTTACCCAAAGAATGTTCTTTACATGTTATATAAAAATCATTACCAATCCTTACAAACTTGCTATGAATCCTTTGTGTTGCATGAATATATTTAAAATATTAAATGTTCCGTATGGGATGAGGCCTTAGTTATCCTTAAGTCCTGGCTGAACTCCCTATGTAGAGAAGGCTGGCCTTGAGCTTTTAGAAATCTGCCTGCCTCTGTCTCCTGAATGCTAGAATTAAAGGCCTGTGGCATTGTGCCTGGCCTTAGTTACTCTTTTCAAAAAATGTGATACATTTGTTTAACTTCAAAAGCTTTTCAAATTCTAAACATACAGAAAATAACAGTCTTACAAAGCATCTTTGAGGACAGAATGTGCTTAGATACAGCAGTTTTTCACTTTGCTGAGGATGATAAACCTACAGCTTGTTTAAAAAGTTTAAAACCTACTTCACTTAACTAAAAAATCTAAACACTTCCTCTGCCAGCTTAGTAGCTGCCTTTTCCCTTTCTCACAGCTAATAATGTCAGCAGAGTACTGTGCCATTGTATACAATAACAAGACATCCTGAAGCTAAAAGGATGCCCACCACAGTATCAGCAGACCCATCCAGTACATTCCATGGGCTATGGCTCCTCCAAAAGTCATCTTCCCCACAGCTTCCATTATAAACAAGGAGCATCAAGAGTTTGTCTTAGTTGCTTTGTTTTCTTTACAAATTGTAGATATGTACAGCTCTGAATTTCTATCCTGTAACCATATAATTAATATCTCCTCACAGAAATAACAGAAACATCTTCAGGTGCTTTCTCACCAACAGTCAAGTGCACAGAGTGAGGGGAACACAGGAGTGCCTCCTTATTTTAAGAATATTTGGAGGAGCCGGGGAGATGGCTCAGCAGTTAAAAGCACTTGCTGTTCTTAGGGAGGACTTGATTTCAATTCCTAGCACCCATGTCAGGCAGCTCACAGCCACCTGTAACTCCAGCTCCAACACCCCTTTTGCTCTCCTCAGTCACTGAATTTATATACGCAGACACAAACACGTACATAATTTAAAACAAAAATAAAAGCAAAAGAAAATAAAAATGTTAGGAGGTATGTATAACTTCAATAGTTTTAGGGTGCTGTGGACACTCAAATAATCCACTGACACTTTGAGACACTACAATATGATTATGATAAATTTTGTAAAACCTAACGTGGGTAATAGACACACCTCAAATAGTTCATGTTTTCCCATTCTAAGGGATTCATAAGAAGACAGAAATGGTTTTTGGTGGTGGTGGTGGGGGTGTGTGTGTATGTGTTTTAAAATGCACTTTCTTTCTCCTCTTAATCGCCCTCTGCTACGTTTTTCTGGGCAACTTTAGCAGGACCCTTGGCACCATCAAACTTCCCTTTAGAATGAGAGTTAGCAGTGTCCTCCTCTCTCTTCCGCTTTGTGGCCTTGGTGATGTGTGACTGCCCTTCACTGTTCTTCAGTTATCCCCCAGCTCCCTCAGACGTTCTGCCGCGTGTTCAGTGGAGGTGCCAGGGTTTGTGGGTTTGATGGTAGGATGGAATTCTGAGCAGAATAAGGAAATGTGGGCCATGGTTGTGGGGCATCAGCGTCCTCTTTCCTCTTTCCTCCCTCAGCTACTCTCCAGTCCTTCATTCCCAGCCACAGTGTGCTTTATCCACCTTTGCCGTTTCGTAAGTGTGCATCCTCTTTGCTGGACATTGTAGTCCACCTCCTACAGCGCTGTTTGGAAAACTGCAAAATTGACAGGGACCTCTGAGTTTTCCTTTTTGTGTTCTCTTCATGTCTGCCCAAAGAAGGTACTCTCATTAGCTTTAACGGTCAACTTGGTACAGCCTGAAGTCACCTGAGAAGGGAGTCTCAGCCGAAGAGTTGTCCAGATCAGACTGGCCTCTGGCATGTTCGTGGGGATTGTCTTGTTGTCAGCTGTGGGCAGCACCACTGCCTGAGCAGGTGGATCCGGGCCGTATACAAGGTAGCGAGGCATGAGCCACAGATGCACAAGCCAAGTAGTGTTCCTCTGTGGCTTCCACTTCAGGTTCTTGCCTTGAGTCCCTGCCCTGCCTTGCCTCAGTGATGTACGGTGAGCTGGAAGGGCTAGCCAAATAAAGCTTTCACTCTCTCCGTTGTCTTCGATGGTGTGCGTCCTCACAGCAACAGAGTGAAACTTGAGCAACAGACATTTTGTACTTTGGTTCCTCAGGATCACCTTTAGCCATCCTGACTGTAGTGTTCTCTGATTTAGTTATTCTTAAATGTGGAGTTAGAGTGGGTTCCTTTTCCTTCACTCCAGCAACTACATGGTCATCAAGTTCACCTCTAAATCACTTTGTTTGTTTGTTTGTTTGTTTGTTTGTTTGTTTGTTTGTTTTGAGACATGGTTTTTCTCTGTAGTCTTGGATGTCTTGTACTCACATTGTAGACCAGGCTGGCCTCGAACTCACAGAGATCTGCCTGCCTCTGTCTCCTCAAGTGCTGGGATGACAGGTGAGCCCCCAGCTTTTCAAACCACTTCTTAAACCCTCTCACTCATCTCCTGAGTGGCCCTGCCTCTCTCCTGCCCTCCATCAGCCCTTCCTGGACACCTACCGTCAATAGATTCTCCCTAAGCGCTCTGTACTCAACATTATTTCTGTAGACCAGTATCACACACTGCGTAGCTCATATAGTCGTTGTGGGATCCCTGCCCACAGCTCCTCTACCCACTTGCTAAATCCGTCTTCTTGGCCATACCTCAGAATCTCAGGTGGCCACAGACTGCTGCACAGCTCTGTGCCCACAGTGCTCCAGCCCTCCTCATCTCTGTAATTCCATCCTTCTAAGACCTTTCTTCCCTCTGTTTTTTGAATGCCTCACTCTTCTATTTGGATTGCAGGTTGAATTATCACCACTGACCTTTACTGCAAAACAACCACCGAAGTATTCTGTCACATTGTTCTCTGTGCTACTCTTCCTCTTACCATGTAACAGTCACCGCACATTCAGTAGCGTGAAACAAGGCCCATGTATTCAAGTTCTGTAGTCAGAAGTCTGCATGTGGGATGGCCCAGACCTCAACTCAGGAAGCCAAAGCCAGGGTGCTGGCCATGCTGCAATCTCCTTTGTGGCTCTGGGTCCTCTTCCAGACCCACACGATTGTAGTTCTGTTCAGCACACAGAAGCTACCTGGAGTCCTTGCCACATAGCTTCTTCTATCTTCGAAACTGGGATTGGAGAGTCTCTCTCACTCAGAATTTCTCATTATGCTCTAAATCTCTGCACGAAGAGATCCATCTGCTCCACACTCCCCTTAAAAGTCAGGCCTCCACAGATAACGAGCAGTCACCTGCTTGGAGACCCTAATACATCCCTAGTATTCAGGTCTAAAACCTTACTTCTTCCTGGTAGCACAGTAGGGTTGATTTAGCTGGTAGATGTGTGTGCACTAGGGGAGCAGGGTTGGCAGCCATTTAGACCTCGGCTGGCCAGCCTGGTGTGCTCTTGTCATTTGCCTTGCTGGCCTTCATCACCAATGTCGACTCAGACCTATCATATTCTCTTTTTTATCCCAAACATCTGCAACAGTATCTGGCAGAGACAATTGTGAAACTGCATCCCTTTACTGGCCTTTTTGTTAGTTTTATTTGATATAACACAGTATTTATAAATATACTGCAAAGGGCATAACTTACTGAGATAATTGTAGAATTTTAAAATTAAGGTGGTTTCTGTTAACCAGCTTCTTACTTCATGAAGATTGAGCCCAAAGATGGAAATCAGTGAACTAGTTAGGCATTTGGCACGTCATCCCTAAGATTGAGTGCCTGCTGCTGTGCCCGTGCTGGTATTCCTGAGGTAATGTAAATGTTTTCTGTGAAAGAACTATGCAAATGAAACTGATTTCTGAAAAGAAATTTTACTTCTATGTTTTTTATTATTCTGTGTTCAAAATGGCTTCCTACTGAAGACGTCAGTGCCTCTTTTGACTGGAATATAAGATAGTTGTCAAGGAAGAGTGGACATGTGACTAAGAGGACATTATTAAGCCTTCCAAGATCTTGTCAGGGAGGCAGTGTAGATGGGTAGGAAGAACATAGTGTTCTGTCATTGGTACCTGGGTTCAAGTCCTGGCCCGCTTTCTTAGTAACTATGATTGCTTGCTTTGCTTTCCTCATCACTAAAAAGGACAACAGTAATATATATTGCAGAATGTGAGATTTTATGAATGTTGAATGAGACTTCATTTTAAAAATCTTGAACTGTGGGAGTTGATAAAAATGTCTATGCCATTGTTGAAAGATAGCAATTAGAGCATATAAAAATGTACTAATTTTATGGTTCAGGTTTGTTTGATTTTACAGTTTTAAACTTTTCAGTAATTCAAATGGGTTTGAGTTCAGTATTTTCTTTTCTTCAGTGTGGGCCAAAGAACTAGGAAGGCTTCACACATTTGTACGTCATCTCTGCGTAGGGGCCATGCTCATTTTCTATGTATCATTCTGACTTTAGTGTAATCTGCCAAAGTGAGCACTGGGGTCGGTTTTGGTTTCTTTATTTTGCCTTTATCTGTATGAGCATTTGACTTCACATATGTATATGGCCCATGTGCATGCCTGGTGCCACAGATGTCAGAAGAGGGTGCCAAGTTCCCTAGAACTGGAGTTAGGGATGATTGTGAAGAATCGTGAAGGTGCTGAGAACAGAACCTGAGTTCTTTGTAAAAGCAATGAGTGCTCTTAACAGCTGAGCCACCACCCAATCCTGGGTTCAGTTTGTAATAACTCTGGATAAAATAGGGATTGCCTAGACAAAGGTGTAAGCATATGCTCCCCACCTTCTCTCCCCCTCTTCCCCTCCCCCTGTCCTCTCTTTTGGTTTTTGTGGGCTCACTGTATACCCCACTGTCTAGACCAGGCTGGCCTAGAACTCACAGACATCCTCATGCCTCATGAATGCTGGGATTAAAAGCATGTGCCACCTTGACCAGCTTGAATAAGCCTTCCTTTGGAATATTTACCAGAGGCCTGGTGAGATGGCTCTGCAGGTAAGGACCTGCTGCCAAGCCTGCCAACTTGAGTTCAGTCCCCACACCCACATGGTAAAAGAGAGAACTGCTTCCTGTAACTTGGTCTCTGACTTCTACGTGTATGTGTACACACACGATAGACATGACCATATATAGAGAGAGTTAAACAAAATATATTGAGCATTTGTGTAAGTCACATGTTAGGAAATAAAACAGACACAAACACATGGTGACCCATCTCCAGGAAATAAGTCACTTAAAAAGGTTCTTTAAAGGACCCAGAAATTGAGTCTTGGCTGTGTTTGATTTGCTCTTTCTGTTCTATTAAAACAAGGACCTCCCAGGCTGCTTCTTCCAAGGACTTAGGGTAGCACAGAAACTTTCTTGAGTGTCAGAATCTGCCCCCTCTCTGTCTACTGTTCCACAGATTAGAAGGAAAAGGCTGGGGGCTGGAGGGGTGACGTAGCGGTTGAAAGGTCTGACTGCCCTTGCAGAGGACCCATTTCAGGTTCCAGCACCCAGATGGTTGCTCACAGTTACCTGTAACTCCAGTTCCACGGGACCCAGTACTCTCTCCTGGTCTCTTTTGAGTACCAGGCATGCACGTGGTACACATGCTAACAACATACAGGTATGCACTCATGCATACGAAATACAAATAAATCTGAAAAAAAAGGAAAGAAAGGCTGAAAGCAGTCCAGAGACTGGAGAGTCCAGCTCCATTTCCAGCGTTTGCATCAGACACCATAAGCATGCTCAGTGGTCCTCCCCTGGGGTACCTTCTCAGTGAGGAGAGACACAGCAGAGCCCGCCTGCCGGCTGCTCTGGTGGATCCACTCCTCAGGTGGAATCACTTTAGTAACACCTAATGCTTTTTTTCTCAGTAAAATTTTCTCTCCAAAAGAGGGGAAAGTGCCACACGGTGGCAGCATTTCTCAAACTTCCTCAGGTACTGCTAGACCGTGACACGCTCTGTTTTCTTTGGTGTAAGGGAGCAGTTGACGGCCTTTCTCCCAGGTTTTTAAGTTTCTCCCTGAATGCCATTGAACATGACGGGCAAAGCTTGGGAAGGCAAGCAGCCTCCGTCAGGGCACGTTTGCACTCCACACTTGCAGTGAGGGGCAGCATGCCAGTTTGCTGGGGAGAGGCATTGCTCTCTGAGTCCTTGTGTTGCTAGCTGTAGATGAGACATCGTAGTCTTTCTGAGAGAAAAGGGAGGGAGGAAGAGGGAGGGCGGGGGTAGAGAAACAGGTTCGTGAGGGTCCTACAGGGTAGGTAATCCGGTGTGGTATTAGGAAGTACTTGGCATATGCCCTTCAGTGCTTTACAGAATACTTACCAAACGCCCAGGCCTATCAGTAGGAATATGTTTAGTTACTAGTAACAGATCCATGGGAAACAGGCCTCAACAAGGGCCTATTTTTTTTTCCTTGCATAGTCCTGTGACAGGTTTGGAAAGTCCAGGGCTGCCATGGTGGCTCCGTGATGTCAGCTGCTTCCAGCCTCTGTGTCCTTAGAGCATTGCCCTTACACTTAAAAGTGGCTTTGGAGCCTCAGTCATTATGTCTGCACTTTGTGGTAAAAGAGAGGGCAGGCAGGAAGCAGGCAGCCTCATTGCAAGTACTCACTGCTGGGCATTGTCTTAAGCATGTTACATAAGCACTTCTTATTAATTTCAACTCGAGGAATTAAGGAATGAAAGTAGAGACAGTCTCATGGGAGGTCACACATCAGTATCTTATTGGTATCTTATTCCAAGAATTTTTACCCTGGAAATAAGATGCAACTTTCAGTGCACACTATAGCTTTTTCCTTTTGTGACTGATGTAGATAGTAGTCCGCAAGTTGAAAAACAAGTACTTATCAGGTAGGAACTCTCAGCGAAGAGACCATTTACAACACTGTGTAAAAGGCAGTCGCTTCCACAGGCCTCATTAATAAGCTAATTTCTATCATTAATGGGCTGAGAGGCGTGACTGCTGATTCACTTGATAGAGCTAGGAATATAGCTCATCACTAGGCTGCTTGCCTAGCGTGTACTTGGTCCCCAGGACTGCAGAAAGCTGGCATAATCTCAGCACTCAGCAGGTGGAGGCGGGAGGATCAGATGTTCAAGGCCATTGTCAGCTGCAAAGCAGATTGAGGGCTCTCCTGGCTGGCATGAGACTTGTTCTTACAACAGCAACAATGTCACCAGATGTGGTGGCGGCACGCTTATAATTTTAGCCCTTCAGAGATGGACACAGAAGGACGAGGAGTCTAAAGTCATCCTCGGCTCCTTAGTGAGTTTGAGGCCAGCCTGTGAAACCCTGTCTTCAAAAACAAGAAAGAAAAAAAGACAGTGAGCGCCAACCCAGAAAGAAGCAAAAATAAATAACAACAACTGGTTTGCTACAGAGTGATTGACAGTCAGTTGTTTAACTATCTCCTCCCCAATCCAGATCTTCCATGGAGTGAGAAGAGCCTGTGTCCTGTCTACAGAGCTCTGCTCTTTTACCTTAGATACCTTTGCTTCTGCATTGAGAGCATATTCCTCTGCCTGACAATAAAAATGTTGATTTACTATAAGGACTGAACTATTTCCCCTAAACTTTATTCTTCCCAGTTCCAATGCTATCTGGAAACAGCAGCATTAATGGCATTGGTTTTTTAAAATTTATTCACTTTGTATCCCAGTTGTAGCCCCCTCCCTCTTCTCCTCCCATGCCCCTTCCCCAGTCCACTTATAGGAGGGGTCCTCCTCCCCTTCTCTCTGACCCTGGCCTATCAGGTCGCATCAGGACTGGCTGCATTGTCTTCCTCTGTGACTTGGTAAGGCTGCCAAAACTTGGTAAGGCACCTCTCGGGGAGGTGATAAAAGAGCCAGCCACTGAGTTCATGTCAGAGACAGCCCCTGTTCCCCTTACTAGGAAACCCACTTTGACACTGAGCTGCCATGGGCTACATCTGTGCAGGGGTTCTACGTTATCTCCATGTATGGTACCTGGTTGGAGTATGAGTCTCAGAAAAGACCCCTGGACCAAGATTTTTGTGCTTCTGTTGCTCTTCTTGTGGAGCTTCTGTCCCCTCCAGGTCTTTCTGTCTCCCCATTCTTTTATAAAATTCCCTGCACTCTGCCCAAAGTTTGGCTATGAGTGTCAGCATCTGCTTTAATACCCTGCTGGGTAGAGTCTTTCAGAGGCCCTCTGTGGTAGGCTCCTGTCCTGTTCTCTGCAGCTTAGATTTTTCTTCCTCAAATCTTGTCTGTGAAAACATGCAGCGAAACTTGGTCAGCAAATACAAGCAAGAACAATAATAAACCTAAATGGCAAGATAGCTCCAGCATAGCAAATGGCCAAGTCATCCATAGCCTAAAAGCTCCTGTGATACCAGAAATGCCAGAGGAATTGGAGGCATAGCAGAGGGTCTTGCTACACTCTCCAAGCCCCTCAAAATCCCCATCAGACCTGTTTGGAAATCCTGATAGGCCATTTGAACAGCAGAGCCCAGCAGATGGAACCACAGGCTCCACCTCCACAGAGTGAGCACTTAGGCTAAGGCTAAGCTAAGTGTGGAGGAGCTATAGAGCTGAAGACAGGAACAAAGGGAGTTCCAGCCCTGAAGTCGGAAGCTGTTCTCATCCCTCCTGAACGAAAGAGGAATGTAAACTCCGCTTAGAATCCAACCGAGTGGATGCAGAGCAGAAAATAGTCCTTACAGAAGAAAAGATGACACAGGATGGGTAGAGATCATTGCCTGCTGTTTTCCCAAGCTTAGGGCAGAAAAGTTACAGAAAAAGTCTAAGAGTCAGAGAAACTGTCTGAATGATTGGGTAAAATGAAATAATAAAAAAACTGAGGTGAAATAATTTGGAAAAATGAATTTTTTTTGTTTAGTTGGTTTTTTGTTTGTTTTGTTTTCAAGACATGGTTTCTCTGTGTAGTTCTAGCTGTCCTGAAACTTTTCTTTATAGACCAGGCTGGCCTCAAATTAGGAGTCCAACTCTCTGCCTCCAAAGTGCTGGGATTAAAGGCGTACACCACCATGCTAGCTAGGGAAAATAAACTTTTAAAAATTATTTTTGAAGTGAGAATTAAACAAAGAGCCCAGGAGTGAATGGACAAAATAGATAGTCGTAAAACAAGGCTGAAAGATTTAACATTGACAAGAGAGGGACTTGAAGGAAGAAATGTGTGTTGATGATGGTACCAATGACTCAAGACTGTGACAAGCCCAGGAAAAGAATCAACACACCAGAGAGAACAAAGGGATTCAGGAACACTTTCCTGAGATTGTTAGTGGACTCATGTTGAAGTACATACTGCTTTCTGGGAAGATTAACCCAGAGCAGCCAATGCTTGAGACCATTTCTGAAATGGGGGAAAAAAATCCTCTGGGCATACAGGCTAAATGAATAGGCACTTTGTAAAGGGAAGAAAATCCACTGTTAGCAGATTTGTCTGTGTTATGCTAAAACAAAGGAGCGTTGACAGTGGACCTTGTATCTAGCCCATCTGCACCTTG